GGCGGGCACCAAGCCGCGGGCTGGGGTTTGTCCGCCCGGAGCGCTCGGAATCCCGGCAGGAAGGGGAGCCCTGCTGCGCCAGGAGGCGATCGCTTCCCGGGAGGACGGGGGGGTCCCAGAGAGCCCGGACAAGGCGCTGGAAAAGGGGAGCAGCCAGCCCGAGCCTGGAAGGAGCTGGAGCGGGGCCGGGAGCGCGCAGGGAGAGCTCAGTCCTGGGGGAACGCGGGGAGATTCCAGCTCCAAAGCAGGAATCTGCCCTGGGAAGGGCAGTGAGGGGGATTCTCAGCCCTCTCCGGGCATGGAAAAACCACCCGAAGTGCCGAAAGCCGCCCCGGAGCGAGCGGAGGGCAGCAGGGCTGAGGTGTGCCCGTGGGAGAGCCGGGAGCAGGGAAGGAGTGTCCGAGCAGAAATCTGCCCCTGGGACACAGAGGGGGCTCCGCCCGAGCAGGAGGGGCAGGGATCCCCCAAAAAAGGTGTGGAACAGCCTGGGATGGGGCTCGCAGGAAAACCCCCAGCTCCAGCCAAACCCTCATCCCAGCGGGCTGGAACCACGGAGAGCAAAAAGGCGAACGTCTGTCCCTGGGAGGTGGAGGATGAGCCGAGCCCAAAAACAGAGATCTGCCCGTGGGAACAGGCAGCAGCTCCGTCGGGGAAAGAGAGATTGAGGCAGGACACGAGTGGCACTTCCAAGGGGGAGGAAAAAGTGGGATCCAGAGCGCCAGAAAAAGGAAAGCAGCCCCCAGCCAAAGCCCTGCCTAAATCTCCTTCAGGGAAATCCCAGAGCTCCGAGAAGGCTGAGATCTGTCCCTGGGAGGTTGAATCCAGTGACAAAGCTGAGATCTGTCCCTGGGAAGTGGCTGAACCTCAGCTGGAGAAGGGAACAGCTCCAGGAAAGGAGAAAGTCCCAGGAAAACAAGCCACAAAAGCTCTGGAGAAGGGGAGCAGGGAGAGGGAATCGATCTGTCCTTGGGAGAGCCCAGACACGGAGCAGCCTCCGGCCAAATCCAGCACCAGAAGCTCAGCAGTGCCCAAGGCAGCTCCAGAGACATCTCAGAGCTCCGAGAAGGCAGAGATCTGTCCCTGGGAGGTCGAATCCAGTGACAAAGCTGAGATCTGTCCCTGGGAGACTCAGGACTCTAAATCCAGTGACAAAGCCGAGATCTGTCCCTGGGAAGTGTCAGAGCCTCCCTCCCAGCAGCCAAAGCAGGTCCCTGCTGGGGGCTCCAAGGGGGACAAGCGCATCACACGCCAGGCAGCGCTGGCCAGCCCGGAGAGATCCCTGGACAGCAGAGACCGAGTGTCCGTCTGTCCCTGGGAGACTCAGGACTCTAAATCCAGTGACAAAGCCGAGATCTGTCCCTGGGAGACTCAGGACTCTAAATCCAGTGACAAAGCCGAGATCTGTTCCTGGGAGGTGTCTGAGCCTCAGCTGGAGAAGGGAACAGCCCCGAGAAAGGAGAAAGTCCCAGGAAAACAAGCCACAAATGCTCTGGAGAAGGGGAGCAGAGAGAGGGAATCGATCTGTCCCTGGGAGAGCCCAGACACGGAGCAGCCTCCGGCCAAATCCAGCACCAGGAGCTCAGCAGTGCCCAAGGCAGCTCCAGGGACATCTCAGAGCTCCGAGAAGGCAGAGATCTGTCCCTGGGAGGTTGAATCCAGTGACAAAGCTGAGATCTGTCCCTGGGAGACTCAGGACTCTAAATCCAGTGACAAAGCCGAGATCTGCCCCTGGGAGGTGGCTGAACCTCAGCTGGAGAAGGGAACAGCCCCGGGAAAGGAGAAAGTCCCAGGAAAACAAGCCACAAATGCTCTGGAGAAGGGGAGCAGGGAGAGGGAATCGATCTGTCCTTGGGAGAGCCTGGACATGGAGCAGCCTCTGACAAAGCTGAGATCTGTCCCTGGGAGGTGGCTGAGCCTCAGCTGGAGAAGGGAACAGCCCCGGGAAAGGAGAAAATCCCACTAAAAGAAGCCTCCAAAGCTCTGGAGAAGGGGAGCAGAGACCGAGTGTCCGTCTGTCCATGGGAGAGCCCGGACACGGAGCAGCCTCCGGCCAAACCCCGCACTGGGAGCTCAGCAGTGCCCAAAGCACCTCCAGGGAAATCCCAGAGCTCGGAGAAGGCAGAGATCTGTCCCTGGGAGGTTGAATCCAGTGACAAAGCTGAGATCTGTCCTTGGGAAGCGGCTGAACCTCAGATGGAAAAAGGAACAGCTCCGGGAAAGGAGAAAGTCCCAGGAAAACAAGTCTCTAAAGCTCTGGAGAAGGGGAGCAGAGAGAGGGAATCGATCTGTCCTTGGGAGACTCAGGACTCTAAATCCAGTGACAAAGCCGAGATCTGTCCTTGGGAGACTCAGGACTCTAAATCCAGTGACAAAGCCGAGATCTGTCCCTGGGAGGTGGCTGAGCCTCAGCTGGAGAAGGGAACAGCTCCAGGAAAGGAGAAAATCCCACCAAGAGGAGCCTCCAAAGCTCTGGAGAAGGGGAGCAGAGACCGAGCGTCCGTCTGTCCATGGGAGAGCCCGGACACGGAGGAGCTCTCCCTGGAAACTGCAGCGGGGAAGGAGCCATCCAAAAAATCCGACAGCACGGAGAGCAGGAAATCTGAAATCTGTCCTTGGGAAGCAGCAGAGCCCGTGGGGTCAGAGGAGGAAATCTCCCAGCCACGGGGAGCCCACAGGGATTCCCCAGCAGGGATGGGACAGGCAGGAGCCAGCGCCGTGTCTGCAACACTTGTGGAAAATTCCAGGGGCAGATCCCGCGGGGAAGCCGAGCACAGGCCCCTGTGCCGGCTCCTGCCCGGCGTGCAGCACCCAGGGGTGGGCAGCAGCTCCAGCCCCGGCACTGGCCTGGCCGAGGTTTGTCCTTGGGAAGCTGGAGAGGCTCCAGCGCCTGCCAGGCCCGGCTCGGACACGAGGAAAAGCTCCGAGGTGTGTCCGTGGGAGGAGGAGAGCGCGGAGCCATCCCGGAGCTGCCCCGGCCAGGGCAGAGCTGGGGGGAGCTCCCGGGATGGGGGTGGGGTGTGAGCGGATCCCAGCAGCAGTGGGTCCATCCTCCCATGGATCCATCCATCATCCATCCATGGATCCATCCATCCATGGATCCATCCATCCATCATCCACCCATCATCCACCCATCCACGGATCCATCCATCATCCATGGATCTATCCATCATCCATCCATCCATCCATGGATCCATTAATCCATCCATGGATTCCATTCATCCATCATCTGTCCATCATCCACCATCCCTGGATCCATCCATCATCCATCCATCCATGGATCCATCAATCCATCCATTGATCCATGAATCCATCCATCCATGGATCCATCCATCCATCATCCATCCATCCATCCATCATCCATCCATCCATCCATCCATCCATCATCCATCCATTCATGGTTCTATGGAGCCATCCCTCCATGGATCCATCCATTCATCCATGGAGCCATGAATCCATCCATGGATTCCATTCATCCATCATCTGTCCATCATCCACCCATCCCTGGATCCATCCATCCATCCATGAATCCATCCATCATCCATCCATCCATCATCCATCCATCATCCATCATCCATCCATCATCCATCCATCCATGGATCCATCAATCCATCCATTGATCCATGAATCCATCCATCCTCCATAGATTTCATCCATCATCCATCATCCATCCATCCATGGATCCATCCATCCACCCCCTGGTCCTGTCAGGCCGGAGCTGGAGGCTGCTCCC